TTTCTCATGTAGCGATTTCCTTATTTTGTTGTAATTCAAAAACTAATAACTGTAGATACATGAAAATTTGACTGAATGTTTATATTATCATTTCCTATACACCATACAATTTTGAAAATATTTTGACTCTTTTTGAGCTGTTTACGGACATTTACAGCTTTCAATTTTTACTACTTAAACCCATACAAGGCCAAAAGAATTCGTCAGGAAATTTTCCAAGTCATATAAAGGTTAGTTTTTGAACTTTTTTAAATTTTTTTTGTTATGTAGGTCTAGAGACTAAAAAAATAACTTTTTTGTTCTTTAGGTAGGTAATTCTTCATATTTTAAAATTAATGATCGAATGATGAATAAATTACATTTTATAAGAAGATTATAGAACTTTTTACAAAAATATATTCCATAATAGGTACTAGATACTTAAAAATTTTAGTAACTTACCCAATGATGGAAACTGATTTGCTAAATTATAAAAGTAGAATGAAACCTATATAGTATTTTTGTAGTATCAATAATCATGGTTGCTGAGTTTTTGGAGAGGTATATAGAATTAGGTATTTTTATTTTGTTTTTTTGTAGAATAAATGCATATTTTTAGCACTTTGTCATGTGAAAATAACTAATACTATTTTTTTTTTTTTAATCAGCTTACTATAATAATTAGGTATATTTTTTCATTTTGTGAACAAAATTATAAATTTATAAGTATTATATTTTGTAGGTATTATAATATTATATAAGGAATTAGTGTAAAACCTTAGTAAATAACAATATAAAATATCTATTATGTAGGTAGGTAAGTATAATGTAGGTGTGTATAAAAAAAAAATATAATAAATATACCTGCTGCCAATATAACAGTACTTATACTCTATATTTTAACTAAGGTAGTCACACATATTTGAATATTGCTGAATTTATAAATAAAATAACAGAAATATTCAACATCAATAATTTAAAATTTCTCATTGTGTGACCGATAATGTATCAAATTTTGGTAAAGCCTTTAGGACATTTCCAATTCAGCTACAAGCAAATTCCTCCAACTCAAATGATGTTATTTAAACTGGTTTTGTAGCGATAATGATAAATCAAATAGTGAAGAAAATAATTTTAGGTTGATGATACTAGTGCAAATGTTGATGTGACTGAATTGTCGATAATACTTTCAAATTCAAATGAAATTAATTCTTCTGATAATGACGACAAAATTTGGTTACCAGATCATCTAATATGTGCAGCTCATACTTTGAGTTTAATTGCGTCTACTGATGTAAATAGAATCGTAACAATTATTTTGAGCTGAAAATTCTTAAAAATTTTACTCTTTAAATCTAAGATTTGAAAATGTAATACAAGATTTCTCATAAGTTTGTCTACCTTTATAAAAAAAAATGTCTACAAGGAAATAAAATAAAATTTTTATGAGCGTTTGAAGTTCATATTTTTACAAGATTGGATATTCATTCGGTTTATCATAGTCGTGCTTAATTATTTTTTTTTCACGATTATTTAGAAAAGGACTGGACGTTTTTTATTTTTACATAGACTTCGAAAAAATTATTTTTGTAATTAATTCTAAATTATGAATACATTATAATATATTCATTTTCGGACCAAATGTCACGCACGCCACACAGGTTACTTTATGCTCATCTCCCACGTGTACGTACTAGAGCCGCTAACTGCAGGTTATTTCACCGCGAGTCAAACCTCAAAAGGTCTCGCAATAATGTAATGGACAATTGTACATTTTTTTTTCCAAGTATCAACTACAAAGTGCATTAGTAGTTGTAAGTATATTATCTTACATTAAACTATACTCACTTACAATAAATAAAATTATTTTATTTATTAAAATTTAACGATTCAAAATTGTCCGATTGTTTCGTACTGAATAATTTATGATATGTTTAATTCGTTTCTGGCCTCTGTACAATTAGGGCGACAGACAGTGGACGACTATAATGTGTTTTTGATCGTCATTTATATGGCAACACATAAATTGCTCACCCCGGCCACAATTCCTTCCGAATTTTGTCTCGGTTATTTTTGGTTATCATACTAATTAGTAATTACTAATTACTACATACATAGTAATGTCCCGATTTGTGTACATACGAGTTGCACCCCGTATATAATTATGAAAATTAAACAATATTTCCCATCCCAGTTTTATTCAGACTGTGGACTTTCGGTAGCAATAATTACTATTACAGGTATAGGTTGAAAATATTATTTTGTGTGTTATATTATTATTCTACATGCCTTTTGTAATTTTTGGACGAATTCAAAACCATTTACGGTGTTGGTGAGTTGATTCCCTTATTGATTCCTATTGTAGATGGTGTACTAAATGTATATGATAATATGCAGTCTTATAAATTACTTGAATAAAAGTATTCAAATGCTTTTTAAGTACTCAAATACATGTGTTAAATACTTTTAAAAGGTACTTGAACAAAGTATTTAAAAATAATAATTTTCAAATACTTACTAGCTTCAGTTTACTTATATAATATTTTCTATTTTAATTTTGTAATATCTGTATATGTATAATGTATATGTTACGGGTAAGGTCCAAAAACGGTTAATGTACATATTACCCGGATAATGTGAACATTATCCATATGAAAAGTGTAACGTATACATTATCCACCTTAAATATGTACTGTGTCGCCAACATTGCATGGTGGGAATTTGTTATTTTATCGTATACATTTTATCAAAGTACTTTACACACTCAGTCGTAGATAATGTGTTTTATTCGGTTATTCCCGAGTAATGTACGAAATAAACGTTTTATGAGTAGTATTTTTACTTTATCCAATAGGTACAGGTAGTGTTCACATTACCCGGAATAAGAACCGCGCCGCTCATAAAAACCTTGCCGCTTATACCAATCCGCACTCCACGCAACGGCTGATCCCGGCTTAATTACTGATATACAACGACATGGAACCAACTCGTACTCAGCCTCTTAATAAACCCTTTAATCTATCTACTTACCGTCTTTTTAAACAAACTCACAACCAACTTCCCATAATTTCATTTGATATCAAATTTTTTATCCACCCACCTCATTAATATTATAAGTATCTATATTTACTTCCCCTACTAAACTGCATTATATCTAATAACCGCCGTAATCTATAATTGCTTTTTAAACATTATATAGTATTATATTCTTTATATACGTAAAATATGTCATATTCAAATTTCTCAAATGACTCTTACAAGTTTTATAACATAATAATTATGTTATAAACTTGTAAGAGCTATTTGAGCAATTTGAATAAAATATGTACAATTAAAGGCAAACATGTGGATGAGCATGCTTAAAATATCACCCTGTACATTATGATACAGATTATATTTTTAAATTTTAATTAATTTCGACATAGCGCACTGCTGTCAATTATAATGTAGTGTTAATTTATTTTGAGTTATATTTATTACCTTGAATGGTTAATACCCACACAACGTGTTCTTTTCAGATGGTTGTCACATTTCGTTACTCTTCGTTCAGATGAAACACGTTAATCCCTTGGCCTCTGGCAACCGACCACCATGTCTCAACGAGTATCGACGTCAGCGTCGAACCGCAATGACGCACATGGCACGTTACATCGATGATTATTATTATTATTATTTGTGACAACCACTTTTGGTGCTAGCATTATGTATTTAAAGCAGGAAGCATGCACTACGTTCCCTGAGGCAATACAATATGTAGTTGTCATAAATTAATTGAAATATTGAATCAAACGTTGAGAGTATGATGAACATCATTAAGCGTTGCTTATTTTAATTAATATCAACAACCAACTAGTGTTAGGATTCAGAATTAATCATTGTGTACATCTCAGTCTTAAATTCAAAAGCCCAGTATAGCGTTAGACTATCGAGAACAAATCACGGTAAAAAAAGACCGCAGTAGATTAGTTCTAAGACTAAAAAGTCTGGTCCATATTGTTTATACATAACAATATTTAAAATAGTTTATTTAAAGAAAAAAATTAAATGATTCTCATTACTCATTACCAACATAATATACATAATATATAATATATATATAAAGTTTATCAGTATAACTAAGTATTAATTATCTATTTTAACTATCTTAACTAAAAAAAAAAACGGGTAAGTGTATGTCGCTCTGCTGTACAGTAGGTTACAAGTGGGTCACTGTAATGAACTGTGTTAAATTTGAATTCAATGATATAATATGATTGTACAAGAAAATCGATTCTGAGCGTAGAGAGGAAGCTAGTGGTTTGGCAATGGTGTTGTTTTTTTTTCTTTTTATATCCTGTATACAAAATTTTTACCAGAAGGTGCTCTTCGACTTCAACATATAGTACCTTATCTTTTAGAAAATTGGATCAAGATGGTACTTTAGAGAGGTCATTTTTCGATTTTATCAATAGTTATTTAATGTCACGGTAAAAACTACCGAAAAATTACGAAAAACAGCTAAAAATTGGATTTTAATTTCGAACGCTTTGTTTGTTAGCAAAGAAACTAATAAAAAATAATATTATAATATTAATTCAAGTTACATGATAAAATAATTAATGACAATAAAAATATCCAGACTGACAAACCGTCTCCGCTCAGAATCATTTTTCTTATACAATGATAGAATATCATTGAATTCAAGTTAATCCATTATACTTATACAATGACCCACTTTTTTTTTAAATATATTTTTTATATTAATACTAGCTCTCCGAGCGTCGCTGGGGGACACCCACAGGTGTCGGTCATCAGTGTTTTCGATTTCGGAAGATGCAGTGGTCTTTTGGTCTGGTCGTCAGTATCGAGCAGTCGATCCTGCTGGTGTGTGATAAGGACTCTGATAAGGTTATTACCACCTCGGTTTGACGTGGTAGCCCTTATAAGCAACAACGTTCGCCAACACCGTCCTTTACTGCAGTCGGAAATTCGAAATCCCGTAGAAAAAATCATATAGCCGCCGCGATTTTTTTGGTTTTCTCATGGTATACATGTGCAACTTATTATTATTATTTTTTGTTTCAGCACAGGGAATATCCAATGAGTACACTGGTTCAATTCAAAGACCTCATCATAACGTGGATTTAAAAAAAAATCACATCAAAATAGCGGCTCATCAATGGATTTACATACAGATTACTATGACGAATTGGAAATGTCCCTTGTCCATCAGAGCTTCGACGTCATTGATGAAGCGTTCCCCATATTCGATGATACTATTTAGTATTTCATCTGCGAAACCATTTAATTCCATTATCTCAAATGATAGGACGTCATCTGCGGGCGAAAGTCAACTCGCCGCTGAGGATCATTGAGGTGGATAATTGATGAATTACCGAAGTTTCCTGACCTGGAATTTTCGATTCATGCATTTGTAACCCAGACTGAAGATATAACATCGTATCACGATATTGATCCTCCGCATTTACAAATGACTGATGAGGTGCAAATATCATCGAGGTCAACACAGCTACGAAGTGCGGGGGACACTATTTTAATAAATGACAAAATGGATTCATCACAAATACGAATGATTGATGAAGTGCAGAAAAAGACAGCACCTGCAGAACTGCCTCCAACTGTGAAGCTTTTTATAGAGACACCAAAACTGGAAGGCAGACGTCTCGACATTCCCCACAAGTACAACACGCGTAGGGCGTGTTATAAAAAAAAAATTTCAAATTTCATAGTTCAAGAACAAGAACTATTGAACAGATTGAGAAAGAACCAGCAGCGACCAAAAGCAAAAGACGCATCCACTCCACACGACCAATGGCTCCATTCGAAGGATTGGGTTAACATTAACCTACTCAAAGTTAATATACCAATTAAAAAGGGGTGTTGACCAGTTTCCCCCCACGGCTGTTATCGGAATTTTTAAAATATACCAGTTGCCCTCAACAAAATGTACCAGTTGCCCCCAACTGAATGTACCAGTTGCCCTCGCATGTTAATATATACACGATTACAATATGTAGCCTGTAAAATAGGGGAGGTAAATATACAAATAATAAATAAAATTATTTATAAAAATAATGTAAAATAGTATAAAATGATAGAACCAAATTTTTATATTTGCAATTATATAATATACCTACTTAATAATAATAACATAATAAAAAATTCAATGAAATAATAAATATTATAATTATGTGGCATTTAATGTTATAATTTTACAACAAAAAAACTTTATAAAATGACAGAAAAAATATCCATAGTAAATAATATGGTTATAATGATAATATAGTGGCATATTCAATGTAATAATTTGTATAAAATGACAGAAAAAATTCATATGCTTATAATAATTACTAGGTAACAAAATAGAATAAAAAAAGTCAATAAAATAATAAATATCATAAATATGTGGCATAATTTGTCAAAAAAAAAATTGGATAAAATGACAGAAAAAATTCATATGCTTATGATAATTACTAACAAAATAATATGAAAAAGTCAATGAAATAATATTATTATAATTTGTCAAAAAAAAAAAATAGATATAATAATTATGTATTATGTATTGTTATAATAATTACTAACAGATTTTACAAAATCGAATCTACTAATATTCTTGTTTTTATATTTATTTATAAAATCTTCAATTCAGTAATGAAAACACTAATGGAATATAATGTCCATTTTTGACACAGTGTATTGTAAAAAGTTGTAAAAAAAATTTCGCACAGTATTCATGTGTTCCGTCTACAAAAATTTTGTCTCGAGAACATAAAAATTTTAAATTTGATTCTGTCGTAAAACATACAATATTTTCGGTCTCGTTGTTATAGAATAGAAAATTCTCACCTTTGTAAGTATTTAATTGTAATAGTGTTAATGCTGAATGAACTTCAGAAATAGATTTTGGTAGTGGTGGAAGTGTTTTTTTTCTCGCACGATAAATGCTTCTGCGAATGGAGCTTACATCGTTTAATGTTACATCCACGACATTTGATTGAACTTCTTCCCGTATTAATTTTAATGGGCGTTTAGAAAAGTCATCCATAGCTTTCCGTTTTAAATTATTAGAAATGGTTACTTTTGTTAAATTTTTACGCGGCGAATGTTTGTGTTCGATAACCGATTTTAAAAGCACCGTTTCATCTTCACTCACAAACAGCTTTGACGTACACGACTTTAATGTACATCGCCATTTCACACCAGCTCGTGTAATTCGATCTTTATAAAAAGTATAATTATTTAAAACTAACAAAACATTGCCCTTTTCACTATACACTCGAGTAATATTTCCATCGTGTTACCAACGTCAGTGCTTTTCGTCTTCTAAAATGTATCTATCAAAGGTATACATCGTATCATATAATAATTTCTAACAACAATAAAACTACTAATAATTGATTCTATCATTTTATACTATTTTACATTATTTTTATAAATAATTTTATTTATTATTTGTATATTTACCTCCCCTATTTTACAGGCTATATATTATAATCGTGTATATTGTATATATTAACATATGAGGGCAACTGGTACATTTGATTGAGGGCAACTGGTACATTTTGCTCTAGGTAGTTTGGGGGAATTTGTATAAAAAAAAGGTACTTTGGGGGCAACTGGTACATGCCCTTAAAAAGGTCCCAAACTATCCTTCAATAAAGCCCTACAGAACCAGAAAGGCTCGTCCCAAAAAGCTGTAACATTCGTCCAGTAAATTGTCCAGAATCCGGGAAGTTTGGAGAGATCTCATTGTATAATTGTATATCTTTTGTATGTCATTATTTAACATCTCATTAAATATGATATGTATTATGTACCGTACCTAACAACTGTTACGAGACCGATTTACGTCCGTAGCCAGTTTGTTTTTATAAAGTGTAATTATTTTTATATCACGTTGGAAATAAACGTTCTATACGTTGTTTGAACTTTTTCCACCCATGACTAAATATTAACTTTTTATGAATTAATAATTGTTAAATTTGATCAATCAATTAATAAAATTATCTTTTATTTCAACTAACATTCTAGATTTTGTAGTAAAATAATATAAATAATTTAAATGATATTACAAATTTATTTTCTAAATATTTTTCTTTTGTCTATTCTAAAAGTAATGTACCTAACAATTTTGATCAAATATCCGATATTATTAGTAATGATCTTAATTTAAATTCTATATCTATATCTGAAGATGATATAATTGAGCATCTAACATCACTTAATGAAAAATCTAGTACTGGTCCTGATTGTTTACCTCCTATTTTATTAAAAAAATGTTGTTTGGTCTTTGCTAAATCTATAAATCACATATTTAATTTATCTTTGAACACAGGTATTTTCCACTTATTTGGAAAAAATCTTTTATCACTCCCATTTACAAATCTGGCGACGGAAATAATGTAAGAAATTATCGACCAATTTCCAAATTCTCGATTCTTCCTAAGATGTTAGAGGCCATTATATCAAAAAAAACTATCAAATTTATTAACCAATTAAATTAGTCCCTCTCAACATGGATTTTTAGCTAAACATTCGATTTTTACTAATTTAATAACACACCATAATTACTTAATAACATCATTAAATGAAGGTTATCAAGTAGATTCTATATATACTGATTTTGAAAAAGCTTTCGATAAAGTAGACCATTTATTATTATATTATAAATTAGAGTTGTTTGGAATAGGAGGTAATTTCCTTAAATGGTTGTTCTCTTTTCTTATTGATAGAACTCAGGCTGTTAAAATATCATTTTCTATCTCGACTGATTATCCTACCTCATCAGGCGTCCCACAAGGGTCTCACTTGGGGCCTTTATTATTTTTGGTATTTATAAATGATTTAACATTAGTTCTCGAACCGTCTATTAAAATTCTCCTTTTTGCTGGTGATGCGAAAATATTTTTTTAAATCAAATCGGTTGATGATCAACATAGGTTACAAACCAATTTAAATAAACTTTACCTTTGGAGTGAAAAAAATACATCTTCCTCTTTATATAATTAAATGTCAAGTCGTTTAGTTTTCAATATAAAATCAATGATTTTCCACTTACAAATGTAAACTCCATTAAAGATTTGGGAATATATTTCGAAAAAAATCTTAGCTTTAAAACTAATCATAAAGTAATGGTTAGTAAATTATATAAGATGCTTGGCTTCATTAACAGAAATACGAATGATTTTAAAAATATTACCTGCCTAAAAACTCTTTATTACTCATTAGTTAGATCGGTTCTTGAATTTGGTTCACTTATCTGGTCAAGTGACTACCTACTCAACATATAATACTGATTTAGATAATGTCTAATTTAAGTTTTTAAAAAGAATAGCCCATGTCATAGGTTATACTTTATCACATTGCTCGGTTAGACACCTTCAAGATTTTATAGGGGTTCATCATCTTGAAGTAAGACGAAATTTAGCGGACATAATGTTCATTTTTGACATTCTGAACGGTTTTGTTATTTTCCCTGAGATCTTAGACTTAATAAATTTCCGTATTCCTCGTAAAAACACACGTAACTTAGATTTGTTTAAAATCCCATTCTACAAAACAAACATTGGTACTAACTCATTCCTCCCTAGAGCCCTTTTTTTAGCCAATATTATCTCTGCCACACTTGATTGTTTTAATATGTCTCGTTATACCTTCAAATTTCTCTTTAGTCTGTTGTATTATTGTATATTTTTATCTTTTCTGTTAAAGGACTTATCGTCCGTTGAAAATATTAAATTTATATTAAAATGGTGGTTATAAAAAAAAATTATTTAGCTCTTGTAAATTAAAACTATACCAATTTTTTCAATTAAAAGTATTAATGCATATTTTACTAAGCTTTAGAGGACCATATTAATAAACTAGCAAACCAAAATTGATGATTTGGACATCAAAATGTTCAGAAAAAAAAGCTTTACCAGAATCCATTAAAAAATATAGTAGTTACCATATTTTGAAAAAAATAAGTTGATTTTGCTTTTGGTACATCTGCGGATTTAAAAATTTTGAAATTGTTATAAAAAAATTGCCTGTTAAAAATAAAGAAACACGTATTTTTTCGTTTTAACGAAATTCTATGTCATCGATCCATAATCGTTAAGAACCCCCGCTTACAAAGATATAAGATACACCCTGTACAACAATAATTGTACATAAGCGGTACGCAGTACGCGTTCACATGATAATAATATATATTTTCCATCGCCCCAAAACAATTAATTGTCACTTTTATAGTATAGTATGTCAGTCATGTCACACTCACTAACGTCGATGGTTTTGAATTATCATAGAACAAATACAACAATAATCTCCGAATTACCGAATGATAAAAAGGGGCAGGTATAATAACAGCTATAAGAATCGTTGTATGTATAATATGTGCCACATAATATGGTCGTAAATCAATTGTTATCATTTATCGTATATCATAATAATCTTCAACTTAAACCATCGATGGAAAAATAATGACAATAATAATAATTTAATAATCTAGCATAAGAGGTATTGGCCAAAATATGACAAGACGATCGAAAAAAAAACCATATATAATCTGGTCCTATCAGGCGAGACCTGGTTAAACCGGAGGCGTCTCCCCATAAACGAGCATGCGTAGGCCGTGGACAACCGATAGCGGATGCTATTGTGCGTCTAAGGCTACACGTCCACGGGCTGGCATTCATGTGGGAGCCCTTCGGAGAGAAAGACAAGCAACACTATGTATACAGCTATTATCGACCAATTTTTTTTTTTTTTTTTTAATCCTAAGTGGTTTCAAATCGAAATTTTGTTTTTTCAAAAGTTATCATAATATTCTGACAAAATAATTGTTCGTTCATATTATAATGGAAGTCTTTCATGCTGCAAACGGTACTCAGGTAAGGT